CTGTCATTTTAACGAATTTTAATCAACAAAATATTAATCATTATTTCTTCTTTTGCTGATATTTTATGTTATATATGTTTCTTTTCTTGATAAAGATTTTAAAAGAATATAGATATGCACATGTGCAGAATATATATGCATGTGTACATCAACTATATTAAATCATTTTTATTTCCTTATTATTCTTCATTAGCTTCTGTCAGCATCTTATCTCTGTTCCGCTCGAAGTTTCTACAGTGGCAAACAAATAAAGAGAATTTTTCGTAATTCTATTACGCATTCGACATAGGTATACTCGAAGCAGCCGGTAACCATACATCCTTCTTCGACGTTGCATGGTACAAAACTGCCGTTGCTGCTATTCACAGAGGTTGTATCCACTGGAAGATGTTATCTTCGCGGTTTGTCTGTCATCGATCCAGCGTGGTTGACACAAAAGAACATCGGCCCTGGGAAACACGGCTGATGTGATTTTTTATGCTACAATGTTATTAATACAGAGCTTATTTTTGTTGACATGAGATAAAGCGGAACAATTGAGGCCATTGAATAAATGTGTCGACGCAACGATATTTGAATGATAATATTGATAATTATGACACTTTAGTCTTAAACAAAAAATGTATTGCATTGCATTTTATATATGTATGTATCTACAGAGACCTCAATTGTTTCATTTCATTTTCGACCATGTTGGCGATTTTGTTGAAGATATGCTATGTATAATCAGGAAGAAACTTTTCTACTCCTATATTTTAACGTAAGTAAGCATTGTTATTAAATTTAGTTAATAAAAATTTTAATTATTGTATTGATGCATTGTATTATACGTCGAAAGAAATTTCATCCTTGTCTTTTCGATTCATACGATTTAACACGGCGTCCAAATATCCTCTTGAGTAACAATATCCGTATAATTTACATAGAGACGTAATTAAGAGAAGGTGCATCCGTTACATACAAGTCTAAGTGCATCTTATTCTTGTCTTATCTCTCACCACGCCTCATACTCGTCTTTCCTACTCTATATACGTAAGCTCTTGTTCTCAAATCAGGAACCATACGAGTTTAGTAAGAGATTACGACCGTTATACTAAAATAACGAATATATATCGATGGCTCGGCAAGTTTGGTCAATTTTACGGTCTACGAGTCTCGAACTTTAGTTCTCATCCTATATTCTGCCGGAGCAAAGGCGAAGAAATCTCGCGATCCTGTTCTGGAGAACTTAACGAAGCCTGCACGCTTAATACTTGTTGATGGTATTACGAAGCGATTTAACCGCGAAACGAAGTTCCGCGCGCGCCTCGGCAAAATTGCAGGTAAATTACCAGCGGACGTTACCGGAGAAGGAGGAGGGGAATGTTACGCTCATAGCAGGGCACTAACCCGGCATCACACTCTGTTCCGTGTTCTGTGTATTGGATAATTATGGCTTCAGCAGGAGAGAATATTGAATTTGCACCGCGTATAAGCTAATCGTCGGATACGCGAGAATGAAGAAAGAGCAGTTTAATGTGTATTTTCGCAAAGGGCGAGTCCGTCGTAATAAATTTCACGTTAAGGAACTTTAACATGCGTGCATGTATTTTGAAACTTTCAATGTGTCGCGTTTTTATTTTATTTTTTTAGATCCGTAAATTTTATAGCAAAATTTTAGGTGAAACAGTTTTATATTTGTAAATATTAAATATAAATTTTTTTCTGCAATATATTGTAGGTAAATGTGTGCAAAAATATTTCCAGTATTTTTACAAGTATCAGATATAAAGTTTCACAATATTATGATTTGTGAATTTTTGTAGATTGTATGTTTTATTATGTTTCGCTTCAACATATATGTAGGAAATTTACAATGAATTATATTAGAAAAGTATTCGCAATTAAAAGTTATGTCACAAAATATTGGAAATAAAAAAAATGTATAGATACACGAGCAAGGAACATTTCAGTTTTTGAAATATTATAGGAACTCTATAATTTTTTTACTCTTTTTAGATCCGAATTTTTCCTGTGACATATATATGATTTGCGTCTTTCTAAATCTCTCGAAAATGTACGTTTACATATTTATAATCTTCTATAGCTGCTTCCTCAAGCCTGGTTTAGTAGCGGTTGTGTACTGAAGTATATTTGTCGATACGGAGAGGATCCGATATAGGATTAAATCGTCACAGAGTTGGTATGAGAATATCCACTCGTCGGATCGAATTATATCTTCTTTCTCGCTTTTTCTCCCTCTCTTCTCGTACTTACAATAGCACGCAGACAGTTGTCTTTTCTCTTACAGGGTAAATTATATTCGAAGATGTCGCGCAGAATGACGGCAATACCAATGGACTTACTTATTTGAGATTTCGCTTATCGGGCTTTCCAATATCCACTTTGCGTAACATTATTAATTAATGTTTCTATTCTTAGACGTATTTTTTATTACAAGCAGGAGATGTACATAAAACTTATTCGATTATAGGAGAAACATTATTTAAACAAGATTTTAATACTGCTTATAATTCAAAGTTAGATAATATGCATACGATATATAGTGTGAGAGAATGTATTCAGGGTACAAATAAAATGTAGTTTTAATCTAAGATGTTTAAAAGTTGAAAAGCGCTTTGAACGTGTTTCATTCAATCGAGAGAGTTATATAAACTCGCGTTATCTAATCTTACATATATGGACGAAGGTGCATTATAAATTTTTCAATTTGAAACAAATTATTGTTTTACTGTAATAATCAGACACAATAGCGTTGTGAAAGCCGTCTGAGTCTCGAGAGAAACTATTTGCTCAAACTATTTTGCATGAAAATAATAGAAGCGTATCATGGAACATCGAATATAATCGCTATGAAAAGCGCGCTTCATTAAGCTCACATTTACGCATACATTTAAGTTTGCTTACAGACAAGCAGAGTATAAATTTCATATTAGACACAAAAAAAGATATATATAATTTCAAAATTTGTCGATTCTTTTTTTTTTCTTTAATAAAGAGTGCTCCATTTCTGCAAGAATACTAATCATGCGAGAATAAATAGACGATCTGGGATAATCGTCGCCATGAGAAAGGAGAAAAAGGATGCTTCATCCCTGCCATCCAGCCGAAGAAGCCCCTATCCATCTGTGCAAAGAAAGGCATCGTAGACGCGTGTGGCGCGTGCGTTATTCAGCGTGATTAAGAATTAAATATTTATGAGAGAAAGAAAGAGAGAGAGAGAAGGGAGATTTTCTGTGTCGACGGCTATATCGAGCTTTCTTCAGGACTTCACGTTGATAGGGCACTCCCGTTATGAATAGAGCGACGAGATACCAGATAAGCACGCTGAAAGCGAACGAAAATAGGCTTTCATCGGCGCGTTTACTCTCTTTCGCCTCTTCCTATAATTCGCGGTGCAGTCTTCCCTCGTAATGTAAAGACGATCCTTTGTGGGGACGCTCAAGGAGCATCTTAATAATGAATTTCTCTATGAATGACTCGACTTGCCGTGTCATCGCACGATGTAAGTACGCTTGTAGACGAGCTGAATGCTGACGAGCAAGAACAAACTCCAGCTACGTTTAATCAAACGTTCGTCCAACCTGATGTTTCATGGATTTGCCAGTGCCAATGTATAAAGTTAGAATGCCAGCGCCAACGTATGAAGAAAGAATGAAAAGAACGCATTTCTCGCGTATTTCGGTCACTTGCATAATTAACCACTTTCATTTCGCAGCGTTATCGTCCAGGACCTTTTATATCCGTGCTTTTCTTTACGACCGTCTACGATTGCCTCATAATTGATCTTCCTCTGCTTTTATTTACAGTTCTTTAACTCTTTGACGAGCTCCTATTTATTACAAAAAAAAAGACAAATCTTTTATAATAATTTTCATAATAAGTTTATTTCTTTTTCTATAGCAAGTACATCTCTCCGTAAAACATGATTATTACTATTATTTTTAATTAATTCTTAAACGAGGATATATATAATATTTATAAAATTAAGATCTATACATAATTTATATCTAATATGACAATATCATATGTAATAATCTGGATCTTTATTTGTCATGCATATTCACGATATATTTTCGATGTATTTTTTTGTTGATTGTGAATCAATATTATTATCTAATTAAAAATAATAATCTTTGTATTAGTCGTGGCACGTCGATTGTCAAGAGAAGAGAGGACTTTGAGCGGAGAAAGACAATGATAGCAACAGGTGGCATCAAAAATTTATTCGTGATGGCTCCCATCATCAGGGGACATCTGTTTCTGGGGATCACTCGACCTTCTTAATTATGATTCCTGAATGTAATTAACGTTGGCATGACATCGCAGGTGTATCATTAAGGTAATGTAGACACATAAGATTCAAATGCGAGCAATTGATAAATGTTCCATCATAAAGTACGCTGCAAAAATATTGCGCGATAAAGCGTTTTCCTTTGATCAGCTTCGAAATCGAGAGTGCCTCTTTAATATCAATAAAAAATAACGTGAGGCTAAGTGGAGAATCGAGGAATGTATATTAAATAATGCGGAAAACTTTTATTATTGATAAAAATAATTTATTATTATTTATCTATGTGTGTATATGTTGATCGATGTAAAAAAATACGCGTAAAATCCATATAAAAAGTTATGTTTGGATAAAACGTGATTTTCTTTCTCTTGTTGATTTCACATACAATAAAAGTAAAAAGTAATAGTGGAATATTTCAATAAATCATTATAGGTAAAAAATAGCGCTTTTTTATAAAAAAAAATAAAAGTTTTTCGTACATATCATCGATATATTTTATATACATATTTTTGCAGAATATAAAAAAGTTGCAAACTTTCTCTTTTATTTTAAAATCATTTTAACAACCCTTATAAAATATGGAATTTTATATTCATTACTTTTATATCTTTTCACTTATTTCTCTAAAATAATGAAATGACCCATCACATAATATTTCATTCAGTAGTTCGATAATTTGACTAATAACTTAAAACTTTTGTTCATTTTACGCATCAATCCATCTAATGATTTTAGTCATTAAATATTCCTTTGTACATGCGAGGATCGCGTTTGATTCAACGACATCTATAACCTGACGACCGACCTGTACGAATATTCCTAACGTTCTGAAAACAGTGATAATAAGCGAACGCAGAGATAATTGACGAGCTTGCAAAACGATTAATCTTGAATCTTTAACAGATTCGCTTGTCGAGTTCTCGTAATTCTCTATAAATCGTCCGACACGAGATAATGAAGGCGCAGCTCGGATACGGTCGTCGCCCTGTCTCGCTCTCATCTCAACTGTTGGAATAGGGAAAAATAGGCGATTTTTATAAAGCATTTGTTGGCGCAATCGTTGGAGTCTCGGCAAAAACGGACGTATCATTCCCGCTGAAACATCCCTCTCGATCCGTGACTTTTTTTCTACTCTCGGCTGCTGGTAGCGCCGCTTTTTCGCGTCGCTTCCCCCAGTTATTTTGTTAAATCGCGAGAAAGCGTTCTTTTTAACAGCTCTTCCGCTTCCTCGAGATTCAAGGGGTGATCGCTCAGCGGCGACTACTTCTTCGCGAGGCAATAAAAGCGAATCGCGAGATAATTCCTCGGGTTTCCGGCGAAGTACCTCTGAATTTATCGCTCTCGCCGGATTGCACGATGGATTTGCGACGGAATTCGTCAACTTTACGATATCCGTGCAACGCACTGTGACCGCATTTATCCGCCGCAACTGCAAACGCGATGACAAGGAGCTTCCGTAGTCGTTCAAAGGGATGTGGTTTTCTTCGGGATCTCTCTTCATTCCGCGATCTTCCTCCGGTGTCCGGGGATCGGATAACAATTCATCGACTTCCGAATTTCTTTCTCGTGACTGCGGATATTGTCGAAAGGGAGATCGATGATTGCCGGGCGATCTTTCTCGGGAAGCTGCGAGTAAAAATAAATTTCGTAGCACAAAAGTATCTTTAATAAAAGAATCAGAATGATTCGTCGAATGCAAATATAAAACTTCACGATGCGTGTCCTCCTCGAGATTTGTCAATTTAAAACCGACTTTGTCATCATCCTTGGGATTAGGCGTCGGATTAACAGTGTCCGAACATATTTCACGAGAGGAAAATTCGTGACCGCGCGGAACCTCTGGTTGGTCGTGGAAAAGTTCCGGCATCGAGAATGCTTGTCGTCTGAAATTTTTGCATTTTGCGTTTAAAAGAATTGATATCGATAATATCATATTTTTAGCTTAAAGGTAAAAGATAAAATTTCTACGATAAAGCGCGCGCATAAAAATGTTAGATCAAATTTTTCACTCACGCTATCAGAATTATTTAGAAAAATAATTTAGATAAAACAGCATACATATATCTTTCGCTTTTTTCTGATAAAATAATAGAAATTTTTTTTAATTTGACTAATCTTTTTATCGTAGAATTATATTTACATTGCGTGAAAAACGAAAAAAAAGAACAATAAAACAGTTCGCATGTAAGAAAAAATGGTTCTCACTTCTTTTGAATATAAATCATTGATGCAATTCTCTTATTTTCATCAATTGTACTTTCCTTATTATTCGATATAATTGATAAAATTATATTCATCATCCACATCTCTTGAAACATTTTTACTGTCGAAACGATTCGGTGTTTGTCAGAATCATTTGTGAACCTCGAAATAACGGATCTCGCCGTTGTATGCGATCGTTTTTCCCGCAAATGTTTTCCTTTCTGTGTTTCTCTAAACGGCATCGCCGTATCGGCCATTGCATTTTGCGGAAATGGATTTCGCTGGCTTTTCGTCGCCCCGATAGTCGTGTCGCGATCTCCTGTCGCGACGAGCGGCGGTACAGATAGATTCGTCGACAATTCGTCGCTTATCTTGAGCAAATAGTCCGCCCAACAGTAACCCAAAGTCACCTCCTCGTGGTACGTCTTGTATATTTTTCGCCAATATCGAAGAGTTTGTCGCAACAACGCAACGGGATCCATCTTCAGTCCGCCTTCCGTTGATCCTGATATCAACGAAAGCAGCAGAGCGGAAAGTATCGGAGTCGTGGGCGACATCGATTCACGTCTTCGTGTTCCTGAAAAGGATAGAAATAGATATGAACGATCATCTTTTTGGACGTGCGCGTAAATCGATTGAATCTTGTCAGAATGGAGAATTCTGTACTCCTTATATTTTTAAGACGACCGAAAGAATTGGTAGTTATTCATAAAAGTTGTTTTCTGCATATACACAAAGAAAGATTAAATATTAAGATGTTCGAAATAAGATGAATAAGTGTACGGATTTCACAATTTGGAAAGCTTACTCTAAATACGAATTGATATTAATAATCAAAATTTTTAATTTGATTGAGATTAAAAATTCAATCTCAATCAAATTAAAAATTTTTCTTTTTAAAAAAAGAGAGAGAGCAAAATTACATATATTAAACATTCATTTTAAAGCTTATAAATATATAGAGTTGAATCCTGCTTTATGAACGATAAAAGCAAGAATTGAAAAATCGGTTAATCTCATGAATTACAGGATTAAAAAGAATGTAAAAAAATACCTGATGGGTTTATTAAACTTCCATCACTGATGTTCACTAAAATATTGAATGAAAAATTTATTTTTTTAAATCATGTGGTATTTAAAATTCCTGGCGATAACAAGCAGCAGGTGGAAAGAAAAAATACGTGCTTTGTTACATAACAAATAGACGCGCACGCAAACAAAAAGAGAAAGAGAGAGAATGAATTCACTAAATTACATAAAAATTTTCCAAAAGAAGAATCCCGTGCCGAATATATTCGAAATAGAGATTTTCCTCTCGTAACACTAACAGCAGACTGACTAGTTTATGCAACAGGGACCTCGCTACATCTGCCGCGGCAATTAGCCAAAAATGTATAAAGTGCATAACCTGCTCCCACTCTTTCTCTCTCTCATTCTCGCTCTCTCTCTCTTTCTCTTCCTCTTTCTCTTCTTCATAGAGGTCATATCTTCCTTTTTTTTGCTATCGCTTTCCTGTTACATGTGAAGTTAACGGGATTTCTTCATATTACAAACAAGAATGATGGCAATGATTAAGTTGCATTCCTAACATCATTTCTTGAATGATGTGAATATAAGTTATTTCGAAAGAAATCCAAGAATTATCCTCGATATGGGACGAAAATTATTTATCAAAAGAATAAACAAACACACAAATTTGATGCATGCACGAAGGAAAAGTGTCAAACTTTCTTGCCATCTTAAAGAAACAAAAACAGAAGCAGCTGAGCGGCTGTTTTTGTGAAAGAATGCAGCGGAAGAAGTAATAAAAAGAGATATTATTCTTGTATACACGGACTATCATCACGGTTTAATTAATTGAAGAAGAATTTAAGCGCAAAAATAAGTTGAAAACTTTGCAAACTTTGCTCCCGAGATTTCTATTAAGTACGTTACTAAAGACTCTTTGCAATAATTTGTTTCGTCATGTATTATAGAAAAGAAAAAAATATTTGCATCATAAAACAAAAAATAATAATATTATAAATTTTTTTATTATAAATTTTGAATACATTTCCTGATATTTCAAATAATTAATAAGAAAAAACAATAAACTATTTTAAAGCTGAGTCATTGTATAAACTTTAATAGAAATGATTAATGCTTTTGCTTAAGCTATACTTGGCCAAGTAACCAATTAACGAATCGGATCTTTATCGGGTTTCTTGTCAATGATTCACTGTTTTATTTGCTCTTGTTTATCATGAACTAAAGGTATTTGTACGTTTGTCGTTATTTACTTAACAGTGAAAGCTATTTTGCAGCCTTTCTTATTTTGTACGGTCTCTTTTTCTTTTTACAACTGAAATTACGTATCGTGATTTTCACTTTTTGCAATTCAATAATTAATTAAAGTTCTTGAAACTGATAAGGAGTACGTAAACAATATTATTTCCAGAGAATTTTATATTGTATTTACTCTCACTTTTTTTATTTATTCTCTATTGTTTTTGTAATCCTTCGCTGTTTGGAAACGTTATTATTAAGTTTCTACGTATATAAAATTGTTTGTGAGCACGAACGATTCCTTCGGAGAGTAAAACAAAAACTTAATTATTGCAGTATATTTCGTTTATAAAAAAAAAGAAAGATTTATAAAACTTCATAAATTTAAAGCAGAGGTCGAGTTGCGCGCGCGATAACTCGTCCGTGAGTGCGAAGGGGTTAAATTACACGTTTCTCATCCCGCGCATCTCTTCTTTTTATTTCTTCTCACCGCGCCTTTTTCCACTTATTCTCGTCGCTTGGTTCTTCTTTTTTCCCCTTTTTCTCTGTCCTACTTTTTGGATACATACGTACGTAAGAGAAGATCGGGAAAAAAGCGTTGCCGGATGATCCACGTAACCGCGCTGGAGATCTTAGATCCCCTTAACCCCTCGAAACAACGACGAGAAAACGATAGCTGCTTCCCTCCATTTTGCCACCTACACAACATATCTACTTATCTACCTACCTAGCTATCTTTCTGGTCTCCTTCTCCCATCCTTGTCTCTCCTTTCTGTCTTGTTCTCCTTCCGTTTATTGCCTACCTACTCGCGCAACACTCCACTTTGTCTTGCGCCCGACAGTTACATCGACACCCACTCGTCCGGGGTAAGCCTGACCGGCAATTCTCGCTGGAGCAGTGCACAGGTACTGCAGAGCAGAGAGATGGTGTTGGTTCAAAATACTCTTGCGGAACGTCAATTGCGGAACGAGAACGGAATAATTGGAGCACTATCTTTTTTTCACGATGAGCGAATCATTTTTTTCTCCAGCTATTGGCGCGTTTAACTCTCTCTTTATTGCTGAAATAAGCATTACGAATAATAATTGCGAATTTCCGATATTGTTTAAATTTTAATTCATTTATTTTTTGTTATTTTTGTAAATTAATATGGAGATATGATTTTAATTTTGCCAATTGCGTACATTGTTTAAAAAGAGAATTTGAAATATAATCAAATATTCAATTTTTATTTTTTTTATTATTTGCATGTATGTAGATTAATAGAATTAAATTATTTAAAAATTTGGACCATAAATGCATATATCCTGCAATGGTTTAATAGTAGTACAGAATATTAAGATTAAGTTTTTAGATGCCTTAATATGAAGGATGTACATAAATTCCCTCTTAAATTCCAACCGTGCGAATTTTAACTAAATGACAAGCAGCGAACCAGGAAGTCTCGTTCAGAAAGAGAGTAAAAAACGATGTTACGTGAGCGAAGTCGCTAAACTGTTTTCTTGTTCGCTACTTTCGTATTGTCGATCACGTTTGCCTAAATTTTCCACTGTATCTCACGAAATTCATGATTACAATGACACTCCTGATTACAAATACGACGAAATGAAATTGGATTTTTGATCGTATCTTTGAGAGAAATCGAATAAGATATTCGAAAAACGTGATCATCGTTAAATGCGAAGCTTGAGAAGTCTATGGCATTTCGTAAATTCGTGCTCAAGTTATCTCTAATAATGAAATCTTTCTCACATCTCGCATCGTATCGACATTTTGACGCCCTTCAAAAACTCTGACAAGGGACGATAATGAAAGCTTCGTAGACGACGTGAGATCGGCGATAAACGAAAAACATAGGGTGTTTTGCAATCTTCTGAGAATTTTCTTTTTATTTTACGTATCAAAATGAAAAATTTACAAAATTTGTTATTTTTGCGCGCGCGGTCGCGATATAATAAACTTAAAAGATTTTCTCTACGCAATTTTTTTAAATTAGTATTATTAAATAAATCGTAATGAAAAGAGAAAGAGGGACGATGTAAATTTTTTTAAACAAGAATTTTGATATTTATTTGAAGTACCGAGCAATTAAATTCAACCGGTGCTCGATTCACTTGCATGTATCAGCACTTGATTTAAATTTCTATGTGCGAAAGCTTATCAAAACTTGTTATTTAACTATCTCACCAGCTTTGTCAGATTATATATATTCGCTGAGAGAGTCTACGCAATTTTCCATATTTCCAGATATATTTCCAGTTGTTATCCTTTATAGTGTAACTTTGTTGCGATATTGCGGTGCACTCGGGGCTATTCGTTATGGCGAATGTCTGTTTCATTATTGTATTTCTCACAGTGTGGTTATCCTAAAACAGCTGTCACTCCCAGACGCTACAGAAATGATGACCATCTTCGTTCCATGGCGTATCGTGCGACAACCACGTCTCGGAAATAAATTTTATCGCGCACGAATATCGCTTTTTCGCGAATTTTTATTTGAAATCTTTAACTGCTAACGATCACAGCAATTATATCACGCTTTGGATGGAGGGCTGGAGGGTGTAAAATTTCTTTCTTTGCATATAATAATGCTGCCATTTATATTTTCATGTTGTTTTAAATTATTGTCACATGTATACATTGAAAATTTATCGTTATCCGGCATATGGATAATTAACGGATGTGACATAAAATATTTCATAATTTGAAAAGTTACGCGAAAGAGGGAGCAGCGGATATTTAACAATTATTTTAATAATGATTAGCTGCAGGCGCGTACGCAGCGTAATTAACAGCGCATTGAAAAATTTACCTTTTTATCCATTTTTCGTACTCTTGATGTCTATTACAACGATGCATCTCTTTTTTATTTTTATGCGGTATTAACATTAATATACGCGCGTTTATGCATTTTCGCATCGTTCACGTAATATTTCACGTTCAGTATTGAATTAACGTAGTATCGGATTAACGTAGTATTGAATTAATTTGACGTACAAATACCTGGCGGCTCGGTATATTCGTATTTTACAAAGTTTTGTGCGAAAAGATGCTCTCGCCTCCGTAACGAGGATCCATTCTGAGGCCGTGCGTTTTCAGACTTCACTTCGTCCCGTCGTAGATAAAAGCCCGGCGTCCAGCTGGGAATTCGATTCATTAATCTGGTCGCCGCGAAACGACCGCGAAATCGATCGAGGACGCTGCCGTCGTCGTCGTCGCCACCGCGGAAATTGGGACGGCTTTCGAGGGTCGGTCGCGAGGAAGAAGGAAGGAGCTTCCTCTCCGCGAGCGCGACTGTATTTCTACCTAACTTTGTCCTGCGCCGGTTTACAACTCTCTGAATACAGCCGGCTAATTAACGGCGCTTCCTTAGCGGGCAAACTGGGAGTAGCCAATTTCATTTCCCGTCTCCCTTTTTTATATCCCTCCTCCCTCCCTCGGTTAAGCGGTCTCACTTCCGTAATTCACGGTTACTGCGCGAATGGAGTATCCTCGCCGTATTCTCGCTCGAGAAAAATCATGCACTTTTCAATTTTGTGGAGCAAGCGAAAAAATCCTCGTCTTTTTATTTTTTTTTGTACGGCAGCTCCTCTTCCGAGAGTTCCTTCTAGTGTGCGTTCTATTGTATTTCGATGATTAATTTGCCAGATTGCCGCATTGAAAATTGGGAAAAATTCTTTATACATACGCTACATGACGTAAAGAAATGCTGTAAATTTGTGTAAATTTCGCTATTCATTCCCTGTCATTGCCGAGCTTTTTATAAACACGTGCAAATACATATATGAATGAATATTAATACAATTTATTCAGTACGTTCTGTATAGAATTCGTAAATTGGACGAAAATAATTTCGCCCTTTGATTTGATTCAATTACACTATATTGTGCGTATATTCTACATCCATTGAATAACAACTGCGACTTTTTCATGTACATTAATTAAATGTATCGTATTTCGCACAATTTATCGATTTGCTCTTCAATGATTTTTTGTAGTGCTCTTCAATTAGCTTTTCAACGATTAACACTGGAATCACTTCACCAAGAGTTTCTTGCAGAATTTCAAGCGGTATTCATGTAAAAACGGTAATTTTCAAACTTTGTCGATGTTGGTTGGAAATATTTTCAAACTTTGTCAATGTTGTCGCATCTAACCGATCGCGTCCACTACGACCGAAGCGACAGTTTTGTGCGGGCAGGAACGCAGCTGCAGTTTAACGAGTTGGTTGAATTGATGTATTCCCGGCTTGGTTGGTTTTAATTAATCGGAGTGATGTTTCAATCGAGAGACAGGTAAATGATGGGTGAACGTTAGGGAGAAAAAGAGAGAGGAAGAGAGAAAAGAGAGAAAGAGAAAGAGAGGGACAGAAGGCGTGAAAAAGCGAAAGAACCGGAGAATAGCAGAAGTAGCTTGGCGTATAAGCGAGTCTCTTGCGCGAGTCTGACAGCCGTGGAGAGTATGAGGTTTCCCTCGTTAAGGGTCGTAAATAATGGCGATGGCGACGATAACGAGGCAATTTACGGGCACGCTCTTGCGCACGTTTTAGCTTCGATGTCCGTCGCGGCAATTTGAATTTTTCGCGAATTTGTGATCTTTACGCGCGGCACACTTGGTAGCTCATCGGGAACGATAAAGGACCTTTTGTCGATCGATCGACGAATGAATTATATAATAGCGGAACAACGTACGGGTATTTTGTCATGCGAGATATAATGGCGGAAGTCAGTTAGAATAATAGCTGCGATTGACATTCAATAAAATGTTTGACAAATATATTTAACATAACATATAGATGAAAATATTCCTTTTTAATAGACCAAGATGCATATATTTTTAGTCGAAAAATAAAATTTTTAAATATATATTGTACTTTATAGAATTATATATATAACGTAAAATTTAAAAATTTTTATGATTTTTATAGAGTTGTAAAAATTAGATATGAAATGTTCTATAATATTTTGAATGAACACACATCAATTCTGAATTCGATTATTCAAGTATATATGTATATTCAAATTTCAATTCTTTTAATCATTATAACTCCGTTAATATTCAGCACGACCATATGGTCACGACATGCGAGTGTTTCTTTCACTAATGGTTCGCCAGTTTATATTCTCTGGAGCAAGACACTCAATTTCTTAGAAAGTAGAACAGATATGAACCGTTTAAGTTTCAAAATGATCGAAAGCGCTAAGAATAAGAAAGAGTTTCAAGTGTTAACTTTAGTAGAATGATTCATGCAATGTCACGCATTTATATAAACTTGCATTTTCTTAGCAGATTAGAAGGATAATATTTTAATGAGAAACTTAATCTCTTTCTTCTTGCTCCACTAGTATCTGCATTACTGATATTAATTAAAAATAGTTAATAATAATTTACAAAATAATTTACAAAATAGAGACGATGCTTGATATGCGCAAAGAACAAAAATACTTTAAGAAGAAAGAAATATACGTTAAAGAATATTGATATGACAAAAGTGACGTTCAAGTATTAACTCCGAGGTATGGTGTTACGGAAAACACACTAGACTGAAACAGCATGAAAAAGCACAATAACTCATATCACTTTATAAGCGAATAAGAAAAAAATCCATAAAGGAAAGAGAAAGAATTCTTTTTCCAATTTCTTTCACGAGGGATATTCTCTGCGGTATTAGTCATCAACTTTTTGTGCGCGCACAGAATCTGTGCGCTTCAAAGAGTCGACAGGTTCATTTGACTGCACATACGGGGAGCCCGAGGAATTAGCTGGGCGATCGACGATACCATTCCGGCGGAAACGCAGCCGCACAAGCGCCAGTCGCTTATTTCGCGAGGCGAGTCGCGTGGGTGATGTCTGCTACCTCCGGCAGCCTGGAGGAATGGAAAGCGAGAGACAAAACGAGGGGAAGAAAGAGAAGGAGAGAGAGAGAGAGAGAGAGCGACAGAGAGGAAAAGAGAATCTCTCCGCACACCAGGGAGGCCTCTCTCTCGGCAACGTTCGCACTCGCGCTCTTTTCGTCCTCGTATGCGAGAGAGAACAGGGGGTGGCGTGTGTGAGATGCGAGGGTAGAGAGAGGCTGTGGGTGCCGAAGGCGCAGCGGCGGCCGCGAGGATGTGGAGCACGAGCCGGCGGCGGCGGCGACGGCTGGAGAAAAGATGCTGCGCGGGGAAGAAGCAGGATAGAAGGCCCGACGCGGGGGTGGCGGAGACAGAGAGAAGAGGGAGCGAAGAAGGACGACGGAGAGAGAGAGGAAGAGGGAGTGACAGAGACAGGGAGAGAAGGAGAGGAAAAGCCGGAACGACCCGGGGGTTGCCGTGGCGTTATCGACCGGGCCTCTGGTCGGTATCAAACCAGGCGTCGGCGCCGTGGCTGTCCCGGCTTCCTCGAGTGCCGGACCATTCTCCACCTCCACCACCACCATCATCGCCACTACTACCACCACCATCACCACCACCAGCGGCAAGAGCAGTAGCACCAGCATCGCCACCTCCGCGGAGGTCGCACGGCTGCTGGCCCTCGGCGCGTCAGTAAAGCCCGGGACAGACAGTCGATCGCGCACACGGAGGGTGCGGGTCGTCCTGGGGGTTTCGCTTGTTCCGGTTCGGATTTGGTCGGCTTGTCGCTTATTTGTCAGCCCGTTACTTTCGTTCCCGCGCGGCTCTCGCATGTAGACCACTCGCGCGACACGCTGTCGTCCAGTACGATTCAACAGCTGGCGGAGGAGGTGTTATTCGGGCGGGATGTCGAGCTGAAAGACACTGGTAAACACATCCGTTGGTTTTCGGTTTGATAAGCTGCTCCGAATGATGTGGGCCGCGTCGCATCGGTCTCGAGCGTAACATCGTTATCCCGGACTCTTAACTCGTGATGCGAGACGCATCGGATGGATCGAAGCGCTTCGTGCTGGTGCGTGTGGTGTCGGAGCGGTAGAATTATATGGACTGATCGAAAGTTCTTCAATCGAAAGAATATCGAATAAATTCCGGAATGGACTATGTGATACGAGAAGACGACGCTAGATAAGGAGTTGGATGTTACGTTTAGCTCACGGTGCGTTTCTCATATTTTTTAGAGTACTCTGCGAATGAGGGGATGCGATGTTTGATGACGAAGATTAAATTCGTATCTTAAGGTGGAGCATGTTACTTAACGATAACTGCATCGAATCTGCTTGTATAAGCGAGATTCTAGTTTACTATATTCGTCAAATTTGGAACATATGGCGTCGGAACATATCGTCGATGATGGGAGATTTAGACAAATTCGTGTATTCTTTTCGATCAATATAAGTCTATCGCATATATTTTTTTGCTATAGAAAAAGAAAAAATATACCAATTATAGCAATTATGCAAGAGAAAACAATGAATATCTCAATGTACATAAATTATCTAAAGGATTTTTAGCATTTTCAGAAAATTTATAAACTATTTTATTAAATATCACGATTATCGTTATATCGAAGAAATTTTTCTATTAAATATAACTTGAATAAATATTTTGTTAAATATCAATTATTTATTTAATATTATTATTTAATATATTTAATAGAAGTACTCACTTTATGTCATGATATGTTTATTTATTTCTACTGCTTTAATGTTTCATTTCAGTCCAATCATTCCTGTAAATAATTATAATGGCTTTGAGTCTGTATTGTTATTGAAATTGCGCGTAACTAAGTCTTGTACATTCAGATATATTTAGCTACAAAGCCAGCTTTCTCATAATGCATAATAATAGACGTAATGACACACAATAGCATTATTGTAATTATTTCTACATATTTCATTAACAATTTCATTACTAGTTAAATAATTCGCAATTTTACCACTTTGAAATTTATACGATACATAAGATATGGAATGATTTGATAATAAATGCAACGGCAAAATTTATATAAGAAAATGTACATTTTGAAATTATTCCAAATTTGAAATCACGAGATTATCTTCTCTCTCAAAATTATTTGGTCCTCTTTTTTCTCTCTTTCCCTTTCTACTTCCAATATTTCTAATCCATTTAAATTTCCGTCTATACTGCGGATCAATTAAAATGATTAGATAAGAATAGAGAAAGAAATTGAACGATTTCGTAATTAATCCTCGATCTCGATGATTAAGGGCTCTTCGTAATTTTACAAAATGGATCGCCATCATTCTCTTTGATTCATCCATTTCTTGCAGGATGCACTTTCGTTGATCCGTGCAAAAATGTCACCCCCGACATTCGCGCAATTTCCGTGATAATATATCGGCGTTTTTTCGCGAAACGCTCGAAGAGTCGTTCTTTCTCCCTGGCATCCGTTTCTGCCTCGATAATTCCTTACGGATTTTTCTCCGGAAACTTTGAACTTATCGCTTCCGTCGGCGAATTATTAATCATTCAGTGGTCCCCTGCAATTAGCACGAGACTGGAATTTAATTTCACTCCTCGGGCGAGATTCTTGCGCCTATGATTCGGCATCTCGTTTTAGCTCGCCCGTCGAATGGCGCGGAATCACAACGTATAGTTCGACGTTAGTTTGCTCCTCTTTCGAACTTGGCAAGCTGCGTCGGCAGTGCGCAGCTTCGTCGACGGAAGACTCCGGGGAATCCGATCTGCAAAGTACTTAGAAGACAAGTCGGACCCATTCAGGATGCCCGCCTCTGTATACCTGTGACACATTCCCTTTGGATGGGAAAAGACGAAAGTGCAGACAGAATTTTCTAATTGTCACAATTAGCTTGTGAGTCACTGCATCAAAGAGACTTTGAATTAATCAAGTTTTGCTTTCAATTAAAATTGCAAATACAAATCATAAATAGTCTATCTAAACTTCCAAACAGAGCTATTTACATGCCATCTACATTAAGTGGACTCTGCTTTCATAATTCTGAATTTTCTTTCGTAAATAAGAGGGAATGATATGTATAAATGATGCATTTATGCAAATACGATTACATTAATATTTAATTAGCAAACGTAACACGAGCGTCGATATTTTTAAAACTTAATCATATACAAAAGAGAATCGCAAAGATTCTTAATTTTAATTTTTAATATGCTATTGTCTCTTATTTCTCTGCACAATCGCTCAGCGCAAAAATAATTACATTATATTTGCTCTATTAAATAATTACAAAGTCGATGCACTTCCCGTTTCGACACATTTATTAGAAGTTTTAAGAAAATAAAAATAAGGAGAAAAAGAGTCGCGTTTTTTACGGCTTATTTTATAAATTGCACGCTCACCAAAATATAAGACCATTACGTCGTTTCATCGCGCAGATGGGACTTTGCAAAAAAGTACGAGTCGATTACTTGCTTCGCATTCGGAAAAAAACATTACGAGGGCGCATAACTGAAACTCTATGGTGGTAATTTAAACACGGACTACTTTCCCCCGGGGCCGAAACATTGCCAAAACCGAAACCGAACCAAAGACCAAAAAGCACAGTTTAGCTCAACTTGGAAATTGGAAATTCTCGCCTGGCCACGGTTCAATGCTATTTGATTTCGGATTTCGCGTTATTCGAGCAGCTTGAGCAACTCATTCAAATTAAACTGGATCGTCATTGCAATTAATTAGATTTTGTCGAGCGACCGGCAATGCGACTCGATTCTTTTTTACAATTCCGGCAATGTACATTAATTACCGATTTATCGAATATAAATTTCTAATCCGGAGCACTGCCGAATTTACGAAAATTTCATACAAACTATCGATGCATATATTTGCATATTAACACGCAATAGAAACGCAATAGGATTAAATTTGCGATATATATTATAAGGAGGATTTCCTACTGCAATAAAAAATATAAAAATATATAATAACATGTTTTTTATTTACTTTATTTTTTACTATTTTACAATAAATAAAAAAAGAGATGTTTCTTAGCGTGAGAGAAAATTACGAAGAATTCATAATTGAACAGGGAAATCAATAAGTTATATAAAAACAAATATTAATTATATATTTATTTTACAAATTAAAAATAAATATTATTACATATATAAATATTTATTAAAAATAAAGAGTCCCCACAAAATAAATATTTAAAAATAAAAAATTACATCTATGTACAATATTATTTAATATTAAAGTATATATACGTATAGTTAAGAAACGGAACAGTAGTTGATGAAGTAATAGAATGGAATAAGAAAAGAATATCGGTGAGGTGCATACGTTTCACGCATGATTGTTCCTTCAGAAGCATATCAAGCATACATTTTTCAGTTCATTGTGCAGACAGAAGGAGCAATCTTCGCGCTATTTGTTCTCGAGTATGAGCAACATTTGTCTCTCGTAGGGCTTTCGTAGAATTTTGGAATTGTACGTGCGCGTGTGATGGAAATGTAACAAGTTTATAAACTTATTATCCTCGCGTGACTACCATCTAATTAATCAAATCTCGCGTGAAATTCATTTCTTGGAGAAGCTTACCTAACGAAGCGATCTTTACGTGTTGTTGCAGCATGTTGCGGCGTGTTGCGGCGAATACAAGGCGAAAAAACCAAGAGGCACCGACGAGAGGCGAAAGAAAGGAATCGAAAAATTATTCCTCCCCGGATGAGTCCCCCTTCGCAACCGAGTCGTAGGACAGAGCGACGAAGACGCTGAAGAGAATTCCGCGAGTCGGCGACTCCGAGGGGGCGGTGCATCGAACCATCGTACCCCGGGTGCCGATGATTCCGTCAGGATCATTCACTGCCGACGATTCGAGTTCGTCGATCGTCACCGGGGCGTCGTGTATACGCGCTTGTCGCGCGGTAACGACGATCAGTCGCCAGCTTGGCAGCTCAGCGTCAGCGCGGGCAACGCATGCACCTGAGAATGGAAGTAAGAGCCCGCTCGGAGCACATCAGCAGCAGCAGCAGCAGCGTGATAACAGCACCGAGTCGCTATTTTGAATTCGAGACGGCGAACGGGGAGCGAGAGCCGCACGGAGGGCGCGAGACTGGAGGTGGCGGCAAGCCGTACCGGAAGCAGTGGGAGTGGGCGGACAGCGGCGACGGGATAAGGGTGGTGACGGCGGCGGTGGTGAGGAAAAGGGTGCAGGAGAGCGGGCGCAAAAAAGCGGCGGCGGCGACGGAAGGGCGAAGGACGAGCAAGGCGGCGGCGAACGGAAAAGGAGAGCGGAAATCGAAAGCGGAAGAAAAGGAAGTAGAAGAAGAAGGGGGTCGTCCATCGGCGGGAGGGCCCCACAGATGCGGGGCCCGCAGGGGCGCGCAGTCCGCGGCGGCGTGACGCGATGCGGACGTCCTCCTCCTCTTTGCCGAGGAAGAGGAAGAGGAAAGACCTCTCGCCTCCCGATACCGTCCTCCTCGCCGACGACTGGCGACCGTCAGTTAAATATGTCGGTCGACAGCAGGGTTCTTCGCTTCGATTCTCCGCTATTATTGCGTCGCGTCGAGCGCGACGCGACGACGACGGCGTTCCTCACCGAGGACGAGACGGTCCTTCAGCATGTAAGATTCCTGGAAGGCCGAGGGTTCATCGGACTTTCAGCGAACGATGCTGGAAGCGGGAGAGGCGAACGGGAGACAAAAACGACGGAAGCAACGATGAGAGACGAGATAAGCGGAGCGCGGAGGACATCGCGAGTAAGGAGATTTCTCAAGATAGTGCCTCGTTCGACGGTACCATCGTCAAGAGCATCCTTCTGCTGGTGCTCCTCTGCGTCCAGTGCTGCCTGGCGGGCACCGAGGCCCTGGTCGGCACGCAAAAGTACTGCACCAGGACAGTCAAGACGCGATACGGCATCTTGCGCGGTGTCGAGGCCAGATCGTCGACCGCCGTCGAGACCTACTATGGGGTGCCATACGCGACGCCGCCGCTCGGCGCGTTGCGTTACATGCCTCCGGTCACCCCGACGCCGTGGCGTGGTACCAAAATCGCCGACACCATGCCGCCAGCCTGCCCTCAGCATCCGCCGTGGATGTCGCCGGACGAGAAACTGCCGTGGCAGAGACGCGCCTATCTCAAGAGGCTGGAACCCGTACTGGCGAACCAGAGCGAAGACTGCCTGTATCTGAACCTCTACGTGCCCAAACCTCCTCACGGTAAGTCACCGATGTATTCTCTGAATCTCCGATCTCTAAAGATATGTAGTATTATAAAGAAAAAATATTAATCTCGCACTGAGAAAAAAATCTGATTGCATTAATTAGAAATCTGGTAGGTTCAACCAGTATGTCGGTTGGAAAATGGACGAATCAGAATTTCTTCAAGAATTATCAGATGAGTATGATTAATTTCTTTCTGTTAAATTTACCAAATTTTCTGGATAACAATACTAAATTTACAAAAAAATGGCGTCCTTGTGTCTATGTTTAATTAATATATAACAAGAAGTCTTATAGATTTAACTAGAAAATATTAACCGAATCTTTGTAGTAAATTCTATTAAACGTTCTAATTATAAAATATCGAGTCTAATTGTGATGACTAGAAATTCTGCTTGATTTAACCAAAATGCCTTCTATCAGATACGTCCTGTTGATACAATCAAATGATTTTTCTCAGTGCGGCAAAATCAAAACAAATCCTTGCGTTTAAAAATCGTTTATTTTATTTTAGAAATGTCAAACATAAATTTTACGCGATGTCTTTCTTTTTTATTAAAGGATATAGTAATAGAGGATAGCGTAATACAGTTTTATAAAATTGTACGCTTTATGATTATTCTGAAAACAATTCATCGATTTCACATAATTCAATATCACTGATTAAATATTAACAGAGATTAAAAGACTATCGTATACGTAGAGATACAAAATTTATATTATTTATCGAAATTATGATATATTTATTTTTCAATAAAATATTTAATAACTCGAAGAAATTATAGCGATATATTTCGAAATGGTTTTAAAAGCGTAGAATTCAGTTTCTGTTTATTGGAAAATAGGAATATATGTTGTCTAAATTTTCTAAAAAGATTTTCTCAAATATTCGTGAAAAATACTGGTTGAAAAATACTGTCCTTATGCATCGCGCGACTGCATCGAGCGCCAAATTCCTCGCGAGAAGATAAATAAAAAAACTTTTCGGAATGTACCTTCTCGATGCGAAGTTTGGCGATATTTTCGCGAGATACTCTGTTTCGAAACATGTGTGTCCAATTTTAGAGAGATTGCTCAACTTCGTTGAGAACGTATCGCGAGCGAATAGGTCCAATTTCATTTCGCGATAATCTGATTATCGAAGTATTCGGGAACGTAGTGTCGTGTGCGTTGCGATACGTGACAATGACATCGTTCGTTATAATTCCACGCGACAAGTAGACATGTGTATGTTCTTGTTCGCAAAGTTTTTTTCGATCAATGCATGTGTGCGAGTCTGTTAGATTCATATGGTTTTGTGAATGACATTCTATTTCCGTTGAAATTATATTAGACACACGAGAATGTACGATCTATCATTCCCTCTGTAGACGTGAAATTATATCCTCATATAGCGACGTTAAGAATTTGGCTGAAGGGAACGAGACGAGTAATAAATTCTTAGAATTACTTATCTAGAAATTATTATTATCCTTTCTTGTATCCCATTACGTTATTTGCAGAAACTGAAGTGTTATTGGTCGCGCATTTGCAATTTGAAACTTTTCAAGTACCGATGCATTGACCTTAATAGGTTGGATTAAGTGTCTTGTGATTGAAAAATACAGAAGAATCTGATGATAAAGTTATCTCATGAATAATCGATGTGCAATATATTACGAGATATCATGATAATTAATTATCATAGTACATTTTTTCTCCTCTTACCTCTTCACAGATATTAATATCGCTAAAATATTAAAGCGCAAAGAGAACGCAAGAAGATTATAAATAGCCCGTGAGCCATTTATCTCGTTGGCGATGGTAGATTGTTAGAGCTAATTTCGCTAATTTTATTTAATGCGGCATCGAATTAAGAGAAAGAGAGAGAGAAAAATATCGCCAGGATAGCTTTATGCGACAATTTCGCGATGCCAAGGTTTCCTTCGCGAGGAAACTGCCTCCTCTCCCACCTTTTCGCCCCTTCTCTCAGGTCATCTTTTCTCTCAGCTTTTAACGTGGGGCTGAAACGAGAACGAGTGAACAAAAGAACGGATCGATCGGTCGATGGAGACGGTTTCCTGATTGCAAATATCTAGCAAGACTTACAGATGTGAAGCATAAACGCGGACCAATATACGGATCACAGATATGGAAATCAACGGCAGAGGAGTGTATCCTGTGATAAATTTTGAACGGGGATTTGGCCGGATTTGCCGAACAGTTTCCTAATATTCCTGCTTGCGTAGGACTGACTCTGACCTATTTCAGTTTCCAAACAATTTGACTTTACGGTGTCTTAGGAGAGAATAATGTCTTTAATTAAATATTTAAATGTTCATTAGGAAAATATAGATATTGCTGAAGAAAATCCTTTTTATACATCGGCGAAAAGGATACAGTGGAAAATAAACGTTCGCGAGAGATCGATCGGATATAAAGCTAATTAAAGCTGAAATTGCGCAAAAAGGCCCGCTATTTTCATAAAGTGCGATTGAACGGAGATTGCGCACGTCCGGACGGAAGTTCGCGCGTGATCCACGATATTTCCGTTTTGTTCCACGGACTCTTTTGCGTAGGGAGCCCGCGCGCTATTATGCTGTCGAATAAAAAGCCGTAACTACCCGACGTTTCAGCCGGATTAAAGAGAACGATCCGTCGTTGCTTCCTTCGCTATCGCACGTTGAATCCTTTTGCTTTTTATGGGAGCGAGCGCTTTTTCCCACGACTTTTTCCCGTGCTTGTCTCTCACCGGCGACGTATCAGGGTGCAGCCGTCACCATTACTTGCACGTAAGCAGCTTAGCTTTCGATCTCCCTGGATATTATCGATGAAAAATTCAAGCTCCTTCAGCGGACATATCCGTGGACGGAACATGTTATTGAAATGCTGTTTGCGAACGTAATATCTTTTTGAAATTTAGACATTGAGAAATTCTTTCCGATATTGATCGCATCCGGATTAATAACCGCGCATTAATATGAACGAGCAAAAGAACGAGCAAAAGATTTAGAATTATAGAAGTAATATATAACATTTCTTTAATTCTGTTAACAAGAAAGAAACTTAACGTGTAAGATGGATGACAAGAACGAGACCCGTGCGATTTGAAAACTTCGATTACGTTTGCATTAAAAAATTTCGATTTAGGATTGAAAGCGTAATCCATAAACACGTAACTGGGGAATATGAGTTTCGTTTCGAATGAAATATGGAACCATACGCGATTACGAATAAAACATGGATTGCGCAAGGAGAAACGCGTAATACGTCGTACATCACACGGAATTCGTGCTTATTTTAACGATACTGCGTTTGTCCAGCGGGTTGAGAGCTTTTTCGTTTCTTGGATCATCGTCGTGAAATTACTTTTATGGTTATATCTTCCATCTATTATTACGCAACGCGAGAACGAAAGCTCGTAACTCTGAACGATAGGTCATGAATGGTTCAAAATGCATACCATTTATATCGTCCATTTATCTCCTCAGCTGTACCATCCAAGGATAGAATTTCTTGGTGAACAGGAAAGTAGTTATAATCTGCGAATGTTATAATCTTGTATGTAATATCTCTGTAATTATAATCTCTAATAGTTATCTAATAGATAATATATTTATGTGTAATTATAATTACATATATATAATGCGAATTTTTTTTTATTTGATGCATTATATAAGAGATACAAATAAAATCGCCATACTTAAACTACATAAATACATTTTTAAATATCAAAAGGCTGTGCTAACGTTATTACATTTTACACAAATTTATGTAGAAAAAACAGCAAATGTATTTTGCTTTATCACTTATTAAATTGCTTAATTAAATTATAATCATATTTGTATAATTTTATGGATGTGTAATATTTCATTCTCTGTATCGCTAATTTTACTCTCGTATCTATTGATCATTTTTCGTTTACGTCAGTTGTACGATGCATTGCTTGCACATGCAATTTGTTATTCTTCATGCAGCGATTACTCGTGGAAAAATTCGATAGATAGGTTTAATATACATTATGGCAATATACTTTAATATATAGACAGAGAGAGAGAAAAAGAGGCACTTCGGGAGTGAATACAAAACACGTGAGAATAATATTCGGGATAGGAGGCGAAAGAGGAGCGTCACTCGCGAATTCATCGCGCTTGTCGTTTCTCCGATCGAATATCCCCCTTCTTTGTGCGTACTCGCGTGCCTCGTGTGAGGAATCCGTCGCTGTGAAGAATGAAAGAATAAAGCGCACTTTTATCTAGGAAATGATGAGAAACCAGGATGCCTTGCCCGCACAATGGTGAGATAGATGCTGCATACGCGAAGAAATGAAGCGGACCGAAGGGATCTGAAGCACCCAGGTATTGGAAGAACAAGATAAAGCGACGGCGGAAAGAGAGGAGAAGAGGAAAGAGAGAAAGAAAATGTTCTAGAGAAAGAAAAGAAACACAAGTGTAAGGATGCGTTGCATCCTCAATTCCGTAGTGCATTGCAGTCGATTATTCGATTTACGTGAGAGAACCTGCAAGCACCGCGGGAGTGAGGTGGCTTCGCATCGAATCGACGTTCTCCTGTTCTGGCTGCTGCGACATTAATCTAGAGAGGAGAGACAATGAAGAGGACTTCAAAAGTATCTCGACGTTTATGTGGGTGGATCGATGCTCTCGTACCTATCGACACAAGCTTACAGTCAACAATCGATCGCTATCCATGCTAGATGCGTAGCATCTAAGAATAGAATCGCAAAAAAGCTCTAAATGAAGGACTTTCATTAATTCTATCGACTTTACGGGTCTTTTAAATTTGCACATTTAAATCTTCCTTTAGCGAAGGAGAAAAGTACGATTCCGGCGAATACAAATATTCCTGTAATTCGGACTTTTATATGAAAACTTAGTTAAAAAAGTGAAAAAACAGGAAATTAAAAATCTGCGGAAAAGATATCGTTTTTATGTGACATCTTATGTGATATAGAAGCCAATTAACGGACACGTATAGCTTACTATTTTTTATTTCACAATCGGGCGCCGTGGAATGTCTCGAAATTGCTATTAATTCACCATAACGACTTTGTGATTTCTCGTTAAGGCTTCGAGATAACGATCTTTTCGCATTAAGGGCGAACTTGGTACTGATATATGTCGGGTTCAAAAAGCACCCTCGATTTCGAATTTCCGTCTTTATGAATTTATTGCACCCGTATCTTTATCTCTCCCTTCTCAACATGTATAATATGATCATATTATACGCTAAATTAGGATGTAGAGACTCGGCATGACGGCAAAACGACGCGAAACTCTTCGTACGTGCGGAACCAGAATTTCAACCATTGCTTGTAATATAAGATTATAATCCTGTTATACGATTCTAGTTAGAGTTCTGAGGAAGACACGGAAATAAAAGCGGATACTTTTCCTGAAAGTTTGACCAATATATAAGAAAATAAAATGGCATGTAAAATAATCTAATAGATAAACGTTGGTAAAAGTTTAACGAGATATTTAACTTTAGATAAGCTACAATTTTCTTGAATCGGGAAGAAAAGTTGTGAAATTTTTTATTCAAAAAGTATTCACAGAAAATCAAATTGAGAGAATTTTATTATTAAAATTATTTAATTAATATTTCAGTTTACGCGATACAACTCTTTTGTACATTTTCTTAATTTAAGTAATCATCGGAATATTATTGTTTCCCTAAACAGATTAAAAAATTGAGGTAGCGCAGTAAAAATCCAAGATTGTTTAATAAATTATTAAAAAAAGTAGTATATCATTCCACTTATCCTCGTAAAAAATCTATAATTTATGACTTCAGAGTGCGAACCTGGCGTGACAAAGATGAATCGACATCGAGAAAGTAATAAAAATACCGAGTCGCTCGTAAATGTTTCGAGATACGATCTGACAATTGCAAACGGGCAAATAGAGGCAGGCATGCAAATTTTCGCAGTTTTCAATGGAAAAACACGTGCGAAATCACGAAGGTGATGTCGTTTGCTCGTTCACCTACTTAACTATCTGTCGTTTAGCGTGCGTTATCAGGATCGCAACAGGTGTCTCGCCTGCCATCACTTAACTCGGCATATGATAGTTTGTTCCCGAAATGATTATATTTTGATCGCAAATGCGTTACGGATATTGTGATCGACAGAGAGAAAGAGAGCTATTGATCTGAGAGATCTAGAGAGATGCAAAGGAAGTAATTTGATGAAACATTATTTTTCGATATTTATATAAAACGTGTAAATCAATATTTTTCACTTGAATTCAGCTAAATTCTTAATCTGCGATTTGTAATATTTGAATCGCTCAACTATATTCACATATGTATGGTAAAATTTACATTTTTTTATGTAGATGAAATATTGAAAATGCTTCGGATTTATAACACACTTGGCCATTTATATTGAAAATATAGAAAAATATAATACATATGTACTAATAATTATTGCTACATCATATATGAAACGATAGATATTTTCCATGTAATTTATTTTATAATAATCAATGATTGCTAATATATATTTGATCAAAAAAAAGTTTAAAATCAGATAACAGTATCATAGATTTATAATCATATTCATGTATAAGCTATAGAGCTTATATAAAGTTATACAAGTTTAATCTATAAGACACATTTTGTAAGATAACCGTTCTTTAATTTAGGTGCTTCTTTTTATCTGGCCGCACCTAGTTTTTAAGAAACGTTTCATTATCGTTCATTATACAGTTGTATTAGCTTCACGTGCACATTTCATGACCTGATATTCCATTTTCACATGACCTAATATTGTTTGACAGAGAATATATTAAGATCAAAGGAGATTGTACTTCGCATAATCATAGCTTAAGTTGCCATAAAATATTTAATGTCGAAATTAATTAAAGAGATTATAAAAATATGTAGCGTCGAATATCAAAAGAGTAGGTTTCACTCTGAATTACATGATTCGGACGATACGATATTTATTAATGCTTTGACGACGAAAATTTGTTCGTTGAATATATTCTGTTATCTATAATGAGATATAAAGAGAATCATTGCATAAAGCTATAATTAGCGATGCAGATAAAGATACAGATATTTATTATTTTATAAAAAATAAAAATAATTTCCCTCTTGCATCTATTACATTTATCTTTATGCATTTATCGAGACTGATAGTCTGAGTAGATGGATGTTGTGGTAGAATGTTCTCTGGTCTTGCAGGTAGTATCGCAGACTCGCTGCCAGCTCTCCTCCTCATTCATGGCGATTCCTATTCCTGGGGTGCCGGAAATTCATTCGATGGAACCGCCTTGGCCGCTCACGGACGCCTCATTGTCGTCTCCATCAATTTTCGTCTTGGTGTGCTTGGTAAGCTGGCAATACTTATTCATTGAAACAAACTGTCTCAATTTTCTACCATTTCAGAACACGAGCTACGCCTTGCAAACGTTTGCGGTTACTTTATTTGATCGTTTGCAGTCGTATTTATTACGATCGTTTGCGAAAAGACAAACGAGAGCGTCTCTGAAAGAATTGTTTGCTACGTCATTTGATCAGGAAATGAGATTTTTTTCTTATACGTTATTTATCAAAATTTTTAATTATAATGAAATATATGTACAATGTGACTTTAATCGAATGTCTTTCGTTTGCAACAAATCACAAGATTAAAACAGTTATTTTTTTTAAGCCCATGATTATTTATCGCCGACTGACAAGTTGACACTTCAATCAGTATTCAATAAATACGCGCGTTGGGCCAATAAATTATTGTTTTAAGCGTACAACGATGGCGAACAATGCGCGATAATCGGATAACACTCGCTATTTTGTATGCAAGAGGTGATAGAAAGTTTTCGGATTATAAAACGCGCCGAGTTTTACCTTGCTTTATTTATCATGTGGCGCAACTAGCTCTCTTTTGTGCTTTCATAGACTTAAAAGAATGATCTCATTACTCGCGGCAGTCAAGGGAAAAAAGTTTTATCGAGATCTTACCAGATTACTTTCCGCGCGGTTGTATATAGAAATTCTCCTTCGGGGGTTGTTACCTGTGTGCGCGATAGTTGCAACTTTAAAAAATGCGAAGTTCCACCTCTCGAATATAGATAATAGCAATAAGTTGTAGGACGTTTCGGATTTTCGAGGCAGTCGTGCGTATGCGTGTGCCAAAATTAAAAATGGGAACAAAGGGGAAGAAACAAAGGGAGTTTAATGAGGATGAAGAAGGGGATACGTAAGGTCCGGGTGTTTCCATGCGAGTAGATTTTTGCGCTCGTTTATCGCATGGCCGCACAGCTTTTTGAGCGTCTGCTAAATATCGTGCACGTAATTTAAACTGGCGCGTTGCAAGAATGACCGCGTGAAATATTATTGACATTTGTGCAGCGAAAAAAAACCGGAATGAATATGACCTCGCTCGAATTTATCTGATTTCTCAATAAATGTCATTTTGTAATTAATCTGTAAACGGAATTTATTTGAATATCATTTTTTTTTCTATGTGAAGGACGAAGAATCACAATTTTAATTTACTTAAAAAATTCATATTGTATTTTTTGTAGTTTCACGATTTTTATTTCATGTCTCTTTTGCGTATAACAATAGTATAACAATAGTATATATCCATATTTATTTTCCCCGCGGTATTTTGGAGATGCGATATTTAAAGATTCGAATGCGTATCTAATCATGTATGAAACGATAAACAACGATATTATTCGAAAGCTATGCAGACGTGTTTACAACACCGTTTCCCCATTCATGAAAGAAGCCCAAGGCATTCAGTGGAACAATTTTCGATATCGATACGCCGTATTTTCACTATGCCAGAGTTGGGGTTTGCGTTCCTCTTTGTCGGTATGCTGCAGTTCCGTATGCGTTTTGTTCATCGCATTGAAGCGAAACAATGCCTGTAGCGTTATCCAATATTGTGCGGTCAGCCGATTCCATTTTCTTCAGTTTTTTTTTCTCTTGCTACTTCGTTTATATTAGTCGTGTTTCTTTTATTACTTTTAATATTTGTCATTTTTATTTCATATTTATGTTAATGTGTACATTGATACTGACAGCTTTTGTGTAAATATTAAATAAATTTTGAATCGATGCCACATTGCTGCAACGTAAATCAGTAAAATAAATAAATAAATAATTAATTATCGAGATGAAATTATCTGCCTTTTATATTTTTCAAAAAATATATATTTTTTATTAATATAAGAGGGAAAACATTTATTTTATATTATTTACGTGATATTTATATTACTCTATGATATTTCCCTGGTATTAAATACGAATGTAATTAAGACTTGGAACTAGTGTACCAGCGAATATGTGAATGGGATTAAAAGGCGAATCGGATTGGAATGAAAAACTCGCCTCGCAGGCAGATGGCGAATCAGAGTGACAAGAGAGTCGGTACAGCAAATTGAAGCAAGCAGAATTGAGTGCTGGCGAGCAAATGTTTAATTTTAATCCGGTTTATCCTCCGATCTTCCTTACTCGTGACAATAACTACATACATGTACATATCTTGGCTTTCGTTCTGTAACGATAACTACTAATTTGATAATAATTAAATCTATCAGGTATTTCTTTCGATTAGTATAAACACTAGAAGTAATTGGATTGGAGCTTGATGAAAGTTTTCAATTAGTGCAATAGAATTCAATTGTTCCGATTGTATTTACAGGGGAAAGATAAGATGTGAGAAAAATAGCCTTCTCGAGATAATTCTCTTATCGGGGAAATATTTGAATTTCCTTCTTCGAAAAGTTTTTTCAATGATAATTTATTTTCTCAAAATAACAAAAAGTACGATTCTTAACGAGTACAAAATATGCGAGCGATTTGTAGCGGATGTAAATGACTCGGTCGCCTTCCTAATTCGGCATTGGCATTAACAGGCTTCCTGAAAACCGGATCGAAGGGAAGCGCGCAGGGCAATTATGGGTTGATGGATTTGGTGGCTGGACTTCATTGGCTGCGCGAGAATCTCGGCGCTTTCGGCGGCGATCCTGAGCGACTGGCATTGCTGGGTCATGGCACCGGAGCGGCTCTCGCCAATTTTTTAGCCGTCTCCCCTATGGCGAAAGGTAAGGTGTTTAATCGTTTCGCGGCCAACGGCGGATTGCGCGTGTGTCAGTCAACGGTGGTTAACACGCCATCGGTCGCATTTGCAGTTGACGTTTGCGTATATCCGTTACACATTTTATGTAGAAGCTCAAACTATATAAACATACGTCACGAGTTTTTTTTTTTTTTTTTTGGACAACGTGTGTCCGTAGACTTGATTTTTTAATTTATTTATTGGGTTCAGGTAAAAGAGACTATTTTTTACGCTTTACGTAAAAAATTCTGTTTTATGGATATACCTCCTCCTGGTTGTCCTCCCCCTCCTCCCCCTGAGAAGAGAAATCGATAACGTTTCTTCTTCTGATCCGTACAGATAAACCTAACAAAATTCTGAGTCACAGTTCTCTCGTAAATTGTAATCTTGCTTGCAAAGGAAGAAAATTGATTTCATTACGTTTAAATACTTGGACTGACGTTGGCGCGACTGTCTCTAAAGAGGAATATGCTAATTGGAGTTAATTTATTCACCTTTCCGTATAATCGTGTCTAAGCTTGTTGTATATAGAGTAATACGTAGAATAAAAGGGAAAAATTATTAAAATATTTAAAAATAGGAAGCTTTTGTATCGCGAAATAATACAAGAACTAATCTATTTTTACGAAATATTGGATTTTAAAATAAAATGAAAGGCTAATAATATATAAAATATATTAAATAAAATGTGCTGTTCGTAAAACATATAATTAGAGATTCATCAGACATTCTCCTGAAATTTTTTACTAGTTATATCGTGATTAAAGCGGGAGTTTTTTCGAACAAATTGCAGAGTTGATCGGGAGGGTGATTTTGCTCGGAGGCTCGGCTCTCTCGCCATGGGCGGTCCAGCGAGATCCGCTGATGGTGAAACGTCGAGTAGCCGAGGAGATCGGATGTCCCGGCGACGTCGAAGCCGACGATATCGCATCGTGCCTTCGTTTAAAGAGCGTGGAAGAGTTGCTGGCGGTGAAGCTGAATCCGCCGAGATTCACTTCCGGATTTGCACCTTTTATCGACGGGGCTGTTCTGCCAGCCACAGTCAATCAGGTGAGACTATTTGCCTCGATAATCGATCTTGAGATAAAAAGATAATACGTGATCCACGGTTTCCGCTTATTTTACGATCTATAACACCTTACTCGATTGTTTTGTTTTTTTTAAACACAATATTAACTTTAATTATTAATTTTTATAAAAGCATAATCGAATGTTCATCTATTTTTGAGTTTTGAAAATTTTTATCTATGGATGGAATTGGAAGGAGACCGTGAATCAGTTATAAAGTCAGATTAAAGTTGATATCTTGACAAAAATGGATATAAAAATATCGTATTAACATTTTTATGGCGTTTTTTTGGTACGTGACACCGCTAATGCTATCTGTCGTTTCTGGACGTCCGGCGCAGTGTTTCAGTTCCGCGTCGTTTTGGATGTTAAACCATTTTTCATAAAATTTGCATTTACATTCTCCGCGTTCTCCGCGTTCTCCGCGTAGAGCTATATGCTGTTTAGCGTGGGCAGTTTAAACGCAAATTACACGTGGAATTTCTACCGCTTCATACGCTTCAGACGTAAATAAATATAACAGGGCTAAATAAACATCGATGCGCGTTTCATTTAGATGATTACGGAATTCGCAAATGTTGTAATTGTATGCGGATATTAGCCTGACGCCGACGGCTAACCGACGTATTGATTTTGCACAAGAGCGAACGAGACGACAAGTAAACGATGAATCTGCTAATTGAACGGGCAGCCGGTTGACGGATGACGGATTCGAGAATTCGTAATAGCTAGTACTTCGTACATGCTCCATTAACTCATCCGTTGATAGTCTATCTGGTTATCCTTCGCGTATATATCATGATAGTGAACGTGAAATCAGGAAAGACGAATGAACTCGTGCATAAACTACTGAAAGTGTATAAAAAAAGGTAATTGTGTCTTTATTGAAGATCTCATTATCTTTATTAATAAATAAAAATATTTATGGCCAAATATACGATATTTAGTGTTATGAGGAAATAAAATTGCAAGATACATCTTATTTTATTACGTTTCTCGATTAAATTTATTTAACAACGACGTAGATGGAAAATAAAGATAAAATAAAAATGTAAATAAAAATAAAAATGAAAATTTTGCGTGTGAAACGTATCGATATGCGTGTTATTTTTAAACGTAAAAAGAATCGTTTGATCAGAATTTTCAGCCCACTGCCTCTTCTTCGGGACTAATGCCGATCGTGCCCGGGCCCGGCTCTGAATTCGCGGACTTTGGTAATCGTGATTTACTCTTTGGTTTGACGTCCGAGGAAGCCTGGGTAAATTTCACCGAGCAAGATATACAGGTACAGATTTACATTAACGCAAATTGATTTATGGAAAGCATCCGATAAAGAAATATGTATAAAAAGAAATATGGTATTATACCATGCATTGTGCTCGTTTTCAATTTTTCTTGCTGTTAGAAAGATCATTTTTTACAAATTATACATATTTCATAATATCTGTTAAAAAAAATTATATATATAGGAAACGTTGCGAACTTTTTAATTTGATTTTTTCTACTATTATTATTATGCACATACGCTCTTTTATTTTGATATCGATTTTATCAGAGAAAAGAAATTTGTATTCGAGCGGAAGTGATTTCTTGATTAATGGTCGACACTTTGCGTGCATAATATGTAATTGACATCGATGGGATATAATTTGACAAATTGATGAGCTTTACACGATCACATCGTGGGTCTGCCCTCGCCGATCGTTCCGGATATTATTGACTCTCTAATGGTCACGGTCACTGAGTCGCATTATATATGACATGCATCTTCCTACTTTAGAATGATATTTGGATCAATAATTCACACGCAGATGCATTTATTGCAAAAAACGTCATTTGTTTATTCGCGCTAGTAAAATCTTCAGATAATTATCTCGTAATAATTAGCAATTAAACGAAATTGATTTATACAGCGAGAAAAGTTCAAGACGAAAAAGAAGTTTCTTACATAATCGACATTCGAATGATTCGCTATTACCTCCACGTCGTGAAAGCAGGCAATTCTTATGATTCGCAGAACGGCTTCAACGAAACTAGGAGGGACCGCATATTGCGCACTTACGTCCGGAACACCTATCGATATCATCTGCATGAAATCTATTCGACTCTCCGGAATGAATACACCGATTGGGAGCGGGGTGAGCAAAGTCCCGTGGCGATCTGCGAGGGCCTTTTATCTCTCCTCGGAGACGGTCAAGTCGCCGCGCCGCTTCTCAGACTGGCTCTGCTTCACACGGCCTCGGAGGGACGGGGTTACTTCCTGCACTTCCAATCCGGCGAACGACCGAGTCAGAGAGGCGAGGAAGTACCCTATCTCCTGGGTATACCTCTTCTCCGCGGGGAAGTCACGTCCGCGCCGCCTACCTTTGGCAACTATACTCTCGCCGACGAGAATTTGTCCAAGCTACTCGTGCATTACTTGGCTAACTTTGTGAGACGCGGGTAAGTTTTGCTCTTCCTTACTACTCTCTGTCTGGCTATTAAATGGACGTCACTAATTATGTCTGTCGATTATTTAGAAATGAAGATCAAAAGTTTCCTAACAAATATAAAAGAAATATTATTGTTATTAGAAATATACATTTTCTAAATTATAATAAAGTAGTGCGAAAGTCTGGCAAATTATCTGATTGACATTTTTTTAATGAAATATACGACGGTCATTAATTGGTGACACGACGGTGCGAAATAACTAGGTGCGAAAAGGGTTAATCGGATAAGTGAACCTCTCTCGTTAATTCACTCGGTTCAAAGTTCTTCGGAACTTAAGCATACACTTCGATTACCTTCCGTGAGGAGAGTCTGCAGGCTGGTAGTGGTAGGGTAAAGTTACAGCTGTGAAAGGATTTTGGAACCAAACTCCCGCAAAGACCGTTAACGCGCTCAGCGAAAGCTCGCAATCTCGAAGTAGAGTAGAGTTGTTAGCGGAGAAGACGCGAAGTGATTTTGGCTTCTCTAATTGCGGATCGGTGGCTATCTGGATGATTACGCTGTCATCGATACGGTGAATTTTCTCACTGGAATTTTTTATTAATAGCGAATTATCGCGCAGGGACGTGAAACTTTCGCTCAAGATCACGCAACACAAAAATTCCATTTTCTTATCTCTTTATCTAGAAAATCTTCTTCACTTATTATGAATAATTAATCGTGGTGACACAATAATATTTATCGTTTTATAACAGTTTTTATTAAAAACTAATTATCAAAAATAAATTGTTACATTCTTTCGTTTTGAAAAACGCTTTTGATGCAAAATAATCCAACTAAATAAATAGGGTGATATATCAACAATGTGAAGCGTGGGAGAGAATGTCAAATCAGCCATTCAACAGATATCTGTCCACTTGTCAAAGGATCGCGGTTACGCTCGTTGTTCTAGGGATCCAAATGGTGCGAGTCCCTTGTCCTCGGAGAACGGTTTGACGACGAGTCCGCCGTTCTGGGATTCGTATGACTCTATAAACCAGTTATACTTGGAAGCCGGTCACAGCCCGGAGATGCGTTCGCACTACAGAGGCCATAAGATGTCCCTTTGGCTGAACCTGCTGCCGCAGCTGCATCGGCCGGGCTACGAGATCAACATGCGACATCACCATCTCGCGGATGGCACCAATCTCTATGAAGGTGCGGTACGTCCGCAGAGCACGGCCGTGCCTCTACCAGCACCCCCGCTACCCATGCCATCCCCCACGGAACCGTCCTCGATTCTTACCGCTCTGTCGACCACGGAATGCACCCCGAACGCGACCGTCGCGACGACCATCACGCCTACAACCTCGCGAACGCTGCAGCACTCGAATCTAGGCCCGGGTCCCAATAATCTTCTGCGCAAATTAGCATCCAGTCACTATCAAAGTTACACCACGGCCCTTACAGTTACCATCGCGGTGGGTGTGTTTCTGCTGTTGCTCAACATCCTTATTTTCGCGGGGATCTACCATCAGCGCGACCGGAACGTGTCCGGTGGCAGCGCCTTCGGCAACAAGAAGAAGGAGGAGCTGTTGGAGGCCGGTTGCTCCGGCATAAATACCTCGGGGAAACAGCGACTGCCGGCCTCTATGAATCTGATGGACTCGCCATCGATGCTGCCGCCGCACAAAGCGAAGCTCGTGCAAGAGCTCGAACTGCAACTGCAGGAATTTCAATGCTCACCGCCGCCCGGTGGCGGTAAGCGAATTCTGGAGCCGCCGTCGTACAGCAAGAGCCCGTGCATCCAACGTACTCGTACCCCATCGCCCTGCGTAGACGCTACTATCGCTCGGATGGACGAGGTCAGCGACGTTGGCGTTCGTCATCACGACAGCGAGGACGAGAACGAGGAACTACCGGAACCGCCGCCCCCGCCCAAGGCTCCGGCGCCCAACGTCGGTCTCACGTGCCCCGGAATCCTTCGGCAACCTGGGACACCCGGTAGCGCGAAAAAGCGCGTGCAGATTCAAGAGATCTCCGTGTGATAGAGACGGGGGAGAAGAGGAGAGGATTTCAGTCTCTTGAGGACTTTGATGTTGAAGAGTGGGCGGTTTGCTGAGAACGTGAGGGCGCAACGAGAGAGACAATGTCGATCGAGATCAAGTGTAGCGAGGAGCGTCTTTGAACCCGGATTATAATCGGATACTCGAAGCGCGAGAAGGTACGCTCTCTCAGTCACTGTCAAAGCGAATTTCGTTTTTCTAATGAAATTTTATCGTTTTCTTACATTATTTTCTTGCTTGAAAAGGAATGAATATAATGCTCTCGTTGCGATGCGCATCGGTTGACTCGTACAAAATGAAAATGCGATCGCTCTCCGAAATAACGATCGCATACAACATAATAATAATTCTCTTCTCGATACTCACGCGTTCTTGTTCTTAAAGCTTAAAACTAACTCTAAGAAGTGCGTTTAGTTTACGATCAAATTTAATATTGTTCGCATCATCTTCGCTACGAGTGATGCCGACGTATCCGTAATACTTTAAAGAGAAAGTGAAACAATTTTTACTCGCTGCAAACGAAACGTTGTACAGTGTGTCGTGTGCAAGTGTTAGAAAATGTGCTTTGTCGAGGAGTTTCTTACTGAAACTTTCGGGTTGTGATTCGCATCTTCGCATCCTCACGATTCGGTGAATGCGAATACCACGGAACAGACAGGAGATTCCTAGTGGTCCTTTCCGAGACATGAATCTTCGTCCGTCCATCAAGGACGATAACGTCTGATATACTTGAAATTCACAAAAGTTCAGCCGACACTCGTTCATTGACTCTTCGGCTGGGTTCGGTCGGTGGTTGTTGCGTAAAACGGGGGATTGATGTAATCTCAGGAATAAAAAAAAATGCAAAGGACATCACACACATCTCGCGGCAGGATATGTACGGTATCTGTCGTGGTGCTAACGCGGGCTAATTCAGTCCGGATCTGCCATAATACTAAATGGAATTAATCGAGGAATTGGTAGTCTTGGACTTCAACTTTTAGATTCATAAAACGAGGATGACTAACTATCGACATGTATGTGTGTGAAGGAACGTATAGCAGAGAGAATAAAAAGATGGAGGGAAAAAGAGAAAGAAGAAGGGAAAGAAAATGAATTCTGTAAAATGATGACTCTTGCTAGTGTAACTGGGGCGTATGTTTGTGTGTGCGTATGTAATCTTATACAAGGAATTAGAACACGTATGAGATGCGAGGTAGGTCTAAACGGTTTAATGGCAACGGGGAGTACTTGAGAAGATGCAGGTGACTCTCCATACTTGTTTTAATAATTGCCGTTATGTATAACGTAACATTGCATTTGTAAAGAAAAATTCGATGCGATACGAAGTTTTAGCGTTTTATTCAAAAAGACCGTATATCTGCGTTATGCGTTATATACTCAAACATTTTTATGGCGTATACATTTGTCAGAACGTATTGCGATATAAGTTTTCTCTAACTTTAATATTCACCTGGGGGTTGGAAAGAGAAAGAGAAAGTTGCACTGTTTTAGAAAGTTATAGATTTGCTACAACTTTTTGACGACTGCTATAAAAAAAGTGTTTAGATAAAGAGTTCCTACTTTTGACCAATTGGAGATTTGTCCTGTAACATAAACGCTATGAATTAGTAGTAAATAAATATATTCGCGTAGTCGCTTTAATCTACTTAATATATATTTTTAATAATAATTTTTATCATTATTTTATTCTCGTTCAAATTTACTTAAAAATACCTTTATCTATTTTATAAATTTCATACAGATTCTACAACGGATTCATTTTTCATAAAAGTACTGTTTAACTTGAGTTCTTCTTAATAATAATAATGGAACTTAGTGTAGACAATTTAAAGTCTCAATCTCTCCGAGAGTCACCTGTACATTGTAAATTTCATGCAATATTGGAAATATGATAATTTGAAGACGAAAAGTATTCGGGCTCATTTTAATTTATTTTTTCTGGGGTGCTTAGACGTGTTAAATGATTATGAATATACATACGATATCATTATTTTAAATTTAATTGTTGAATTTAATTATTTTACATTTTGCTTATCCTTCGAAATTGTTAGATTAGATAAAGGACATTTAGAGTCAAAAATAAAGGAAGAATTTCAAAGATTAATATTAGATATTGTTGCAAAATTTCTCTCAAAAATTCTAATAATAAAATATTATATAAACTGGGGAAATATTTGTGTGTACGCAGAATAAAACATGAATTTTTGGCAATTTTTGGCAAATTTTGATTTTAATTAGGTATGCATATCTTACAATGGAACGCACAACATTTCTTGAATGTAACCAAGAACCAAGAACAAGCATTGCAACTCGAATGAAATTCGCAACTCGAATGAAAATTTTGCAAAATCGCAAAATCATGAAATAGAGAAGACAGAAAGATATTATTGTCATAAGCACCCCCCGCGACCGTAAAACTTTTCGAGCAAATGAGAAAGAGAAATCGCGCGAGGGGCCACACCGTAAGTAACCTAACTCCTAATTAACTTAGTCACGGGGAACCTTGCCATAATTAATTCGATTGCACTCACGTGCATTATCATCTAGCGGTGAGACGCTGACGATGTTAAGGTATGTGTGTATATCGCGTATATAAAGATAATTGAGAAGGAATATTGAAACGCGCTGTATAAATCGAGAAACCGTTTGCGATCGATCTGAAAAGCGCTACGTAAACAGATAGCTGTTCGTCGAATTTGGATACGATCGTTAAATTAGCTTCATTTGCATCGTACCTCTCCGTGGAGAGAGTTAAGTTTCATTGTCATTTGCGCGGCAGACAAAGGTGATGATCGAGCCTCATCAAAGCTGTTTACTACCGCCGTTCCTTTCATTTGCAAATTTTTCAATTGATTGGAAATCGATCGTTTCTCAAGATGAAAATGTTGGAATTCAAGCCATTGTTGTTTTCAATGATAAAAAAGAAATGATTTTTTTGGAGAATTAAGATGCTAATTGGTAAAAAACTGATAATGACAAGAAAAATTTCTTTTATCTTTCAGAATATTTACAAAATTATATAAAAAGAAGAATTTTATATAAAAGCAATTAAGTTTTTTATAAGAGAAAGCATTCTCTTTTAATTAGAGAATCTGTAGATGAAAGAAATGGCGGTACTCTTCTGTGACAGTGGGTATACATACAGAATTAAGAAAAGAGTAAGGAAATACTGGACATAATACAGATAGCCAAAGGGATCCGACTATGCTGCCATGATCTGTATTATGTTTATGGAAAGCGTAAGCACAAAAATGCACCCACACGTATATACATTTATCAATGTTTGGAATGTTGGGATTTGTTTAAATAAATACTTAAAAGATTAAAAGCGTAACTGATGGCGTCCTAATTTTACGCACGTCCTATGCCATTCCTGTCGCTTCCTATAGCGCTTCACACACATGAATTAGACAAAAATGGTGTCTATAACTTTTTTCTTACATGTAAAAAATTATTATTAAAAGAATTAAATAATTCAAAAATTATTAAAATAAAAAAAATTATTATTAAATTATTAAATTATTATTAAATTATTATTATTATTACGTACATAATATCATATTGATTGATTTGAGAAATTTTATTCTTTATTCAAAGTAGCTCTAATCAAAAAATGGAAATTACTAAATATCTTTTTTATTTAATATTTTGTGTTTTTTTATTTATCAAGCGTATTTCATCATTTGAGAAATATTAAAAATTGCTGAGACCATTAAGTAAATACGCGCTCGTATATCTCGTTCTTGAGAAGGGTGCCAAATATAGACTAGACCGAGCACTAGGGATGAGAAACGGCTGCGAAACAAAGTAGGAAGATCGAGGATTAGAGTGAATGAATGCCTACACGCTCCTTTCTTATGCCTGGCGTAGTCGTATACTGACGTCTCGCGGTTTTCTTGTTCGCGCAGAGGGTGGCTAAAGCCTGAGGTTTAATAGGGTGCTTTCCACCTCTCGTGAAGCCATGCAACGAGATCTGCCGCGGGCTGAAGTATAATTAGTCATGCTATACAATACTGGCATATAGAAAGACCGAGTGCATAACTATATATGCATATACGTACACACACATACATTTGGGCTTTTGTATGTGTGCGTTTGCGTTTACCGGTACTGCAATGGATTAGGGAGAGAAGGGGGACTGTTTGGTAATTGCTGATACGACCAAAAAGTCAACCGCTCTTCGCGATATAGCGAGACGTGAGAAATATCTCGAATTAATCCTACAGAATGCGGCAGAGAAAAATTCTGAATTTTTCAAGCTTTATTAAATCGTTTTTTTTTTCATTTATAATACGCGCATACAAGTTAATAAAAAAAAATTTTGTTATATAAAATACACTTGCTAAAACAATCACATGTGTTTTATTACAATATATTGTATATCAAGGGCTTAACGGAGCGCACTCGTGTTAAACGCAATTTCGATGAAAAATGGATCAAGTACATATTGTAAAACTGTAAAATTTCTTCACTGTTATAAGCGTAAGCGTTGGCTTGATATTGATATCGATATCGATATCGATATCGATATCAGTATCGATGCTGGCAACTGCCTATGACAATATAAAATTCGTGTTTTTATCGTCTATTAATAAAGCTGTCAGTCTCTAAAGTTACTCTTTCAAAAAATGCGAATTTACACTTGTCTCACTTGATTAAGTTTTTTGAGGATTGAAACAATATTGCTACTAAATTATGATAATTTCTTTACTAAAAATCCCCTTTTATTGAGGATTATTTTTCGTTGAAGAAATTTTTTTATATTCCGCAAAAAAATTAAATCAGCTCATTTCCGCAATTTTGCGGAACGAAAACGCAAACGTTTCATATCAAATTGGTACAAATATAGCAAACGTACGGGTTGCTTTAATCGCTTTAGCCGCCGTTTGATCGTCGCAGCTCATGCATATATACACGCGACCTTTTACATTTTTTGTCAAACGCGATGATCCACGAAGATTTTTTTTCCTCGCTGTTTCAGAGATAGCGCAAGCTCGTTACAATCCTCGAAATGCACAGGTCGTTCCCTTCGCGTGGTCGTTTGAAAAAAAAAAACAAGAGGATAAATAAATCTCTCTCCCTCTGTTATACAAAGCGATAAAGTAACGTCATTTTTCATTTAACGAGGATTGCACTAGGATTGCGTGGATAATACGATTAAATCTTGTTTGGAGAAAAATCATTAAGAGAACAAAATCGGGACGCGTAGAAAAAAGGTGCGTCCGTGTATCAGGAGACGCTAATCAGAGCGGAAGAATCGGAACGTTAGATTCTTGCTTCCTGCGGGTGAATGTGGGTTATTGCGGTTTATAGATATCGGATCGACGCCAATTAATAATCCGATGCTATTTTTAAACAGCTGTTGTAACTAAATGGCAGGCGCCAGTTATTCCAGTTGAAAGAAAATCGATAAGGGCGTAATACGGTAGCGTTACGCGTAAGAGCAGCTAGCGTGGGCTTGAATAGATAGGAGTGTTAAATTGAAGTGTCCGTTTACTTTCCCTAGCGGTTAATATTAACAAAGGCCAGTTTTAGCCAAACTTACTTTCAATAATGAAAGTTAAACTCAAAATTATAATGCGGCACATGCAGGCGACGTGCAACGAATGCAATTAATTGATTGACGTTCCCCAGTAAATTTGTATTAAATTTTAACCCTCTTAGAGGAGTAAAATAGAGCGAGAATAAAGCGATTATTATATCTTAGAAATAAAAGGCTTGCTACTTTTTAAGCTTTTTTAATTTTAAACTCTGTAGAATATGTGAATGTGATTTTATTACGAGGAATTTTATAATACATAGAAAAAAATAAAATAAAAAATGGCTCAAATAATAGAAAATTGGCTCATGTAGTACGAAACATTCTTTCTCTGCATACTATAAATCGCAACTCTTTTTGCTACCATTTTTTTAAATTTTTATGGTATGTTAATGAGTCATCCCCATTGTTTTTTTTCGCTTAGAGTACTACATGCTTAGAGTACAGCGTGTATTCCGACGTGCTCCGGTAATGGAGTGGGATGCGTTTTGCAGATGAAATACAGTGTCTTGCGATAAATGGGCGCCGACGCGATGCTGCAGAGACGTGCCCTTTTACTGTGAATCTAGCTTTATTCGCACTGTGCTTTAAGTGACTCCTGTATAGGTCATGTTGCCTCGGAAGTCGCTATTGTTTGCACCTTGACACTCGACCGGTTGTCAACGTCAGTAACATTTTTCATTCTTTAAGAAATCGATACAGACTATAAGCTCACCCTTAGCGTTCGTTATATAAGCCATAATCCGTGCTATAGCAAGTCAGTCGTTCGCTTGCGATGGCATTAGATGCATTTAAACTTGTAATTTGTGAAGTGAATATTTCGCGTCTTGTAATTTCAGAATAATACAGCAATCTGAAAGGAACATCTAACATGACACATTCTCGAAACACATAATTTAACTATCGATTAGATATCGAATCGTTGAAATCTTGAAGAACATCGAAGACATAAAGAAATGTCAACAGCAGAAATCGCGCAATTGATTGTTTCGTGACTTGATCCACGTACGAAGGTGCGTAATAGTGCTATTTATTATTTAGCATCTTGAATAGCATATAGTCATTCTCATATTTCACGTCAAAGAAATTT